CCATACCCCAGATATTGAAGTTCCATATCATTATTTCGCGTCTAAGACGTGCTCTTATATCGCGATTCTACACGTCACCACTCTCTGATTATGAATCTCTCTTCGGCCCCGGCAGGATTATGGTAGGCCTATAGTGAATTCAGCGCTCACTCAGACCGTCGCTTTGCCGGGAGTAAACCTAGCCCTCGTATGGACGGTGTTGCTTCGCCGAAATTCGGTTGTTTCTCATACGACCATTTCCACATCGGCCTCAATTGCGTCTATGATGCGTTACTATTGGAAGTCCAACCTCAAAACCAGCAGCATGTCACCCCTAGGCCGTGATTATTTTGAACAGTCGATGCATACCTCAGACACCAAGCTGAAGCTGCAGACTGGCGTCGTTTCTTAAGGAACAGGTCTCTTACACGGGCGGACGTTACGACTATTTTTACGTATCTCACCAGATAAACAATTCCATCAGTGTCGAGAAATAGTGAGGGAACGTCGAATCCTCCCAAATATCAATTTGAGAAGATTATATTCTTCGTGGATGTTATCCTGATGTACCTTGTCAAATCTGTGGAATCATTATTTTTCCCCCCAAATTAGAAGGCACGGGGTGATTAATTAGTCATCTTGTGTTTAATAAGGTACCTGATGCTTTGAGCTAGTTCTACTAGTTTTAGGACAGATCTCAGGTCACACAGACGCAATTCTGGCAATGAACCTTCCGTGAAACCAGCGTATTAAGGCAATATTGAAGTCGTTTGGCTGATAAGTAGCATTGCAATGTAGGGATTGACCTTTATTACCGAGAACTCGCCTACTGTACACTTATGAGATGTTTGGTTTGAGTGTATTCTAGAATTAAGTGGGTGCGGAGGGAAGCGGTTGCTGAGGTGCAGGCATAAGGATATCAGGGCCGCAAAATGCTGATATATAGAGAAAGGAGCGTTCATTCGTAATGATGAGGTGTATTGAATGTCTTCGACTTGTTGAAGCGGGTAATGTTGGGCTCGTCGCTTGATTGGAGTCGGAATCTCGCAGTTATATATAGGCGAGCTTGACTATATCATTGGAATTACAGTATTTTTGGTGAAGATCGAATTTCGAAGGACTGTTGTAAAGAGAAGACTAAGTATGTATGCTCCAATAGAAAGGTACTTAGCGTACATTGCAATAGAAGATTCTAAGTAATGATACACAGCACCATTAGTAGCACCATTCGTATATCTTTCACAGAGTCTTTTCCGAACAGAGGCGGTAGTTATCAAACACATCTTGTTCACGTCTCGAGGTACAGGGCAATATCTTACAATGGTCCTGGTCCAGTAAGCTCGCACAGGGGGTCCTTGGGAGTCCTGGTCGACTTCGGATCCGACATAACCATTGCTAATCTCTCTTTTGCGTCAATTCAAAGGCACTCGGGGAAATTCCTGACCAGTCGTTCCCTGACATTGGCGATACTGGTGATAAGCAAGGCCAAGACTGGGTATGGCCATTCAAGCGAGGCGTAATAGTCAACCAGCCAGGCCGTGCCCGTCCGCAACGTTACAAATTAGGGCCGAAGAGAGACAAGAACTTTCAAGCTACAAACATCGCATACGCCTCATGGGTTATTCTCAACGGTACCTATATCAAGACTGTGGAGCATCGCGCGAAATCTGAGGTCAAAAATCATGTGGAAAGACATATTTCCAGGGCAACTAACAAGAGTGGCCAATTTTACAACATAAACCTACGCCCAGTCGAGCTAGAATATGGGAAGCCGGGCTACATAAGCTTGGAGGATTTTATCAAAAATGATGACATCCTTTTGTATCAGGAAACGAGCCACGCAGAAGTGAAGAATACATCGGCGTTTATTGAAACAATTGCACAAAGGGTAACAACTAGCTTGCGCCATTATCTTTCCCGAGAGAATTCTGCTGCGCGGGAAAAAGCGGAACGCAAAGAAATAAAGGCAAGACAAGCACGCCTGCGCAAGGAAAAACTGACGACAGAAAAGGAGGGGGCCGTGAAAAGACTACGTAAGAGTTCGCAGGTAAAAGGCGATACAAAAAAAATCAAGAAACCGGAAAGGCCGGAAGAATGAGAAACAAGTCTCGGATAGAAAGTTACGAACAGCTCTGGAACGGAGTGGATTGGCTCAATTTTGAAGGGCTAGGCACTTTAATGTCTATCTACTGTCTGAGTGAACATTACCTATCTTATCGACTATCTTCTGGGTCGTTCTGTAGACCTCTCCGTTTCTTAGTATCGCCCTTTCCTGACCAAAGAATGTGAGAGTACTGTTCAAATGTAATCCCTAGCTTTGGCTTCTTCCGAGATCTTCCTGTCTCACAAAACTTCCCAAGACTTAATGGAGATGTCACCTCGGAGCACTGATACAAAGACTCTCGTGGTCACGCCAATCGACTAGTATCAAAGGGTATAGTGCCACTTATTATTTGGTCACCTTTTGCAAGTTGTGATCACCTGTTCAAACTCTCTGAGCGGTCTTCTTTTACTCAAGGTGTTCGTCCCCATCATGCCTTGCCTCCCGAGGCTTCTTCCTAAGCTCATCCGGTCAGGTGCATGAAGTCCCCAGACAAAAACACGATTCTGAAGATATCTGGGTTCTCTAGAGCCGGATGGAACAGTTGAGAACAGTAGATCTGATTGTTGCTGAGTAGCTGTTGTGATTTGACGAGGACTTTTCTTGCAATCTGTACATAACTGATGGAATGCAGCTACAGTAGAGGCAGCTGCACAATGTGAGAGAGGGGTGAGGAGTGAGATTGCTACCGGGGAGAGATTCTTTCTAGACTATGGACTGCGGTGTGCGAGAGTATCATATGCCATAATAAGCCCCCCTGAATCGCGACTCTGTGCGCAATTTAACTGGAAAATGGAATGAAACTATTTTACAGTATTGTGCGCCTCTGGCCACCTGGTCACGAATGTGATGATATTTGACATCCATCAATATGTTTAGTACGCCGATGCAAATCATAGCTCCCTGTCAGGAAGATGGTGCCTTGGATGTCCTCATAGATTAAGGTAGGCATATCCAGCAGATGTTCGAAGCCAGATCAAGTTCGTTCATAAAGAGGCGCAACCGCACCACCCCTGTACACCCAAAGAAGCTACGATGTACTCGCTTTTAGTAGACGAGAGCGCCACGCAGGTCTGCTTCTTGGAAGCCCAAGTGATAGTCCATTTGCAAGCTTGATTACGAAGCCGGACGTGGACATGCAGGAATCAGCATGCTTACCAGCCCAGTCTGCATCAACGAAGCCGAATAGGCTTCTAGGTGAATATGAGTAAGTGATGCATAGGTTTTCAGACCCCTTGAGGTAACGAAAGATGCGCTTTAACGCAGTCATGTGCTTGGGCGAGGGGCTGTGTGCGTAACGGGCCAGTTTGGTGACTGGAAATGAGATCTCTGGTCTTGTATTGACCATGAGCCAATTCAATGAGCCAACCATCTTCCGGTAAAGCTCGATCTCATCAGCCAATGCGGTGCCCTCACGCGGTTGTAAGATTTCTTTGTCATGAAAGGGCGTAGGCACTGTATGCGCACCTTGAAGTCCAAATCTATTCAAGATCTTGCGCACATACGCCATCTGCGAAAGGTAGATCCGGCCGTCCATTTGAATAATATCGATTCCAAGGAATCTCCTGACTTGGCCGTTATCAGTGACATCGAACGTCTTTCTGATTTGATCCTTCAACCACCTTCGCGCATCGTCAGGAAGCGTAATAATCAGCATACCATCAACATGCAGAAGGAAGTAGAGCCTGAGTTTATGTTGACGAAGACGAAGTGATCAGCCTGCAGGCACTTGTATTCAATGGCAAGGAATGCACCATAAAAGGTATTGTGCCACTCCCTTGGGCTCTCCTTCAGGCCATACAGCGTTTTGAGAAGGAGGCCGCATTTCTCTGGCTCTTTGAAACCTTCAGGAAAATCGATGTAAATCTCTCCCATCAAATCGGCGTTCAAGAATGCAGCCACGTAATCGATATGATGCATATTCCAAACATATTGGGCTGCAATTGCGCAGAATATCTTGAAACTTGAAGCTTTGGCTGTTCTGGCGTAGACATCAAGATGGTCGATTCCTTCGCGCTGCTTGGAGCCTCTTGCAATGAGGCGGGCTTTGTAAGTGCCGCCATCCTTCAAGTACTCCAAAACTTAAGAGACTAGCTTACTTTGTGTGTACTTCTGACACGTCCTGTAAGATACTCAATACAACCATATTGCTTATCTTCCCCTCTTTTTAACCCCTCCTCCCCGCCCCACAGGGCCACATTTAACTAGCGTACTGAAAAATGCGATGGTCAGGCTTATGGTGGACGGACGTATGTGACCCACCAGACGCCCAACTTGCACTCATAGATACCTAGCCAGCGACGCACGTGCCTCCTCTTTAAAAACCCCATCGAGCCACCAAATTGAAAGTACACGTCAAATTTCCTTTCTTTCGTCACCTGGTGACTTGATTAAAGTACGCACGAACTACACGATGCGACTTGGTTTAGAACTACATCAGCATATGGTGCCAGAATGGGCCTTGTTCTGCGTTCCCTACAATTCCTTGAAAATCTCCTTCAAAACAATCTTGGAACAATCCATAACCGAAGATACACATCCTGATTTCTCAGGTTTGTCAGCTATTAGTCTCAAACAAAGGAAGGTCTCTTACATAATATCAGGATTATACACGACTAACACCACCTGTGTCGATGCATTGAATGCCTTTTTACGACAGCAGTGCAAGTTTTATCTTCAAGTGCAGGTAGAGCTCCTCAGAAAACATGAATTTGAGCGGCTGCGCGACACACTACGATTCCGTCTTCCGATATATTGCAGCAAAAAGATATTTTGCGAACTTAAGAATCTACACAGAGGTCTTCTGAAATTGCAGTTGTTTCTCCGGGCGAATGAACAAGCTGTCGACAGGATATACAGAAAAATTGAAAACCGTTGTGTCACTCCGACAGAGCTCCATCACAAGCACAAGTGCCAATGGATGAAGTCGAAGGTTCATTTTCAGGAGAAAATTGGTAACTTGAATCGAGATTCGGAAAATATTCTGACAGGTGCTTTTTGCGCTTGTTGTGAAGAGCTACCATCAATCAACCCGATTTCTTCCGAGTCATCAAACTCTAGTCCCCTCGATCCCTTCGCAAGGGAAAGACTCGGTCTAGAATATGCCATTCGATGTGATGAGCCTTCCATGCTGGCAACATATCTTGCACTCTCTAAGGTGAACGATGCTCTTTCCTCAAATGCTGAGGCAATTCTCGACTTGCTTCTGGAGCTCTCAATAATTCACCATGCGGGAGGTTCAGTTCAGCACTTGGTGTCAAAAGCCTTTCCGGCAAATGGTTTGATAGCAGATCATAATCTTCTAAACCGCATGATCACCAGAGTGGGCGAAGAAAACTTGTTGCACGATCACATGGAACAAATTCAAACCAGACAGTCTCTCTGCGGAAGCTGCCGTGGTGGGACTTCAGAGAACACGGTTGATCTCGCTGTTGGCCTGATGTGTGGTGGCCAGAAAAGCACTATCATAGCCGTGAATGAATTTGGCCGCTTGCCACTTCATTACAGTGCGCTGTGCGGCCTCAATATTGTGTGCCAAAAGATTCTCGGTCATGCGCAAGATCAAGGACAAGCATCAAACCTCATCTTGTCTTTGGATGCTCAAGGACATAAACCATTCTATTATGCGGTGGCCGAGAATCACGTGGCTGTTGCAGAGATGTTCCTGAGCGTCTTGAAGGTTGAAGGTCAACTCAGTGGCCAGCACGGCTTCGATATCGTGGGCCACATGCAAAGCCTCCTCAATATTGCGATCCGGTATCAGTTTGACGACATAGTTGCTCTGCTTGGAAAGTCTCAATTCTGTTCTTCCAGGGGGTTTGCTCATTAAGAAAGCCCAATTTATGCTGCAGCTGAGATTGGTCGCGATGATTATCTCAAGATTCTGCTAGAGATCGACAATAAGGCAGGTTTAAACCATTTACAATTACCCTATGGTTGGTCAGCGTTGACTATCGCTTGCGTAAAGGGTCGCAAGAAGGCCGCCGCGCTCCTCCTGCAAGCTGGTGCGAGCCAGCACATACCTGATTACCGTGGTTGGTATGCCATAGAACATGCAGCCTTGAGGGGGCATTCTCTTTGGCAGAACTTCTGAAATCATGGGATAATTCTCAATTAAATGGAGACTGCTATCAAGCTCTTGCCACCAGCCAATCCGGCGGGGCTTGATCTCTCTGTTACTTCTGATCACACAATTATCAATATCGGAGTGTTGCAGAACGGAAAGCAGGGGAATGGAATCAACCCCAGGAAAGTCTCCACAATGGACAAGTTTCTCACCGGTGTATCACCACCGGTGGACATGTCTGTGTCAGTAGGGAGTGGTGTGAGCCAGCTGGTGCACTTACCAATCCTGAGTGACATGGTAAACGAACCATTCATATTCCCTATGCACAGTTCAGACGAAGCACACCTGGTCTTCAAGTTTTACCTTCAAGGCTCGCCACGCGGGAAGAGCGATCTGATATGCAGTGCTGCTACCCTACTTCGGAGTGAAGAAGATTACCTTGGATCAAACCGCGAAAGCCTTTTCAGGGGACGTACCATTCGTATTTTGGCAAAGGATTCTTCTGAGTTGCTAGGAACTGTGACGTTCACCTTCCTGATTGCGAAACAGCCTATGGACCCGAAAACTTCGCCACTGATCGACAATTACTTCTCAGAGCAAGGAACACAACTTGTTGGTCACAGAAGTAATAAAATTGGACGTTGCATGTTATGGTCTTCTAGATGACTGACATTGCTGTAGGTTCTGGTCAAAATACTGTTGATTGGAGCTATCTTCAACTCGGAGAGAACACAATTGAGGTTTGATATGCCTCCTATACCCTGAATCTGTAATCAACGTCGCTACTTATTGAATAGTCCATGCTCTCGGCCGCAAAACAAGGGGCATCATGTGTTGAGGTGGGACTTGTCACACGCGTAACATGTGTACTTCTCTAACATCAAACAGTTCGGTAAAAAACCATGAGTGTAGTATGACATCATCTTGTATTGGCTAATACGTAACAGATGTTCAGCTTACTCGAGTCCTTGTACCCGTCGTTTTCCATGACTTCTCATTGAGCAAGTCAGGTACTGATGTGCCCATCCATGATCTTACTTTCGAACAGGTATGCATGCCCTGAATGACCAGCGGCTCTCAAGGCTCACTATGGCAGTTTATGCACGCAAGCAAACTTCAATTTCCGAGAGAACATTCTCATTGGAGTGACGGCGACGGTAGTACAAAGTGCAACCCAGAACACCAGATCAAATACAGACATCGGTCACGCTCATTGACGACAGCCCATATAAAAAAGATCCATCATGTTCTCGATTGGATGAGATATACTTTTGACCTCAAAAACAAAGGTTTCAAGCCAAATACGCGAGGGTCATTCATCCAAGGCTCTTTCGCCACCCTGAAAGAGCTACTCGTAAAGTTGCCAGACTCTATCAGCTTCAATGTTGAGATTAGTATGTGTTTTGGTCCAATATCTTGTTGTCTAGTCTTTTTCGCTTAAACTTACCCGAATAAGAATACCTGAGACTCCACGAAGCGATTGAAGCTGGTTTAGCTCCCGTTGCGCTTGAGATCAATGGATTCGTCGATCGAATACTGGATCAAATATTTCAAAATGCTGGAGGAAGGAAGGTAATCCTTTCTTCATTCACGCCTGAAATTTGTATTCTTTTGGCCATCAAACAAAGAAGATATCCGGTTATGTTCATCACTAATGCCGGAAAGCTTCCGGCTAGTGATATGGAAATGAGAGCTTGCAGTGTACAAGCTGCAGTCAGACTTCTCAAGCGGTGGAATTTGGCCGGTATTTTCTTTGCATCCGACATACTACTTCTATGTCCGAGACTCGTCGGCTATGTGCGACATTCTGGGTTTGTTTGCGGGTCTTATGGCTCCTTAAACAACGTTCCAGAAAACGTGACGGTGAGTTAAAGCCAACAACAACTGAAATTAGCTGTCTAAAAGGTGATTTTACGGCGTGAATGAGCGATTCTCGCAGCTAACGAATTCCTTCAGGTACAAAAAGCGGCGGGCGTTCAGATTTTGATGGCTGATAGAGTTGGCGTTGTGTCAGCGGTGCTTAACGAGAACCACATCGACCCAGCAGCTAACGCATCAACTCATCTTGGCTAGGCACCTGTGATCGTTTTATGGGTCGGAAGGGTTTATTGAAATCAATGATTCTCACACATGGATCTCGTGGATCGGTCCCGCAGGAGTATTCACACTAGGTCCCACTCTATATTTAACTACCGAAACCTGGAGTAACTTCTCGGACTTCGAGTGCTCAGAGGGAAAATCCAGATCTTGGAAATTACCTCTGTAGTTGGTGTATTCTGTGACGCATGGGCAAAGGTCAGCTTAACAGCTGGTGAGTTGGTCGACCAGTTCGTGCGCGGACTTGGAGAGTGGAGGTTGGTCGTCGTGAACTGGTGAGTCTACTAGCCAGTTGGTCGGTTGGTCGGTCGACTGGCGAGCTGTCGTCAACTGGTGGGTCGGTTGACCAGTTGATGGAGAAGGACGGGGATTCGAGGTAGAGGTCACGTGACCGATGTTTGTGATCACGGAGTCAGGTGATTGTGTTTGTGTTTATGTTGTTGCCTTGGGTCTCCTATATGTAGATACTGTTGTACGCCAGTTAAGAAAAGCTTCAGAAGGACTCATTAACTTTTATTCTAACTGTCTGCGTGGTGTTCAAGGATCTCAAAGGCTGGAGAGGAAAAAAAGAAAAGAGAAGAGGCTACAGTCCATCCTGAGTTTTGAGACGGTGCGCGTGGTGTGCGTGGCGTGGTGTGCGTGGCACACGGGGTAGTCGTGGCACACGTATCCCTATCCTCCCTCTCATCCTGAGTCCGTTCAGTCCTGCCATGTTCACAACAGATACGCTGGAGCCTGAGGATTATTTGCCTTTCTGTTTACTTCTGTAGGGAATCTCCTATATAGATCTTTCTATAGGGATCTTCTACCTTACCGCTAATCTACTCTATAATAGGTATATATAGTTACTTTTCGCCTTCCTTACTTCTTCCTTTCCTTTTTCCCCTTCGTCTGAGTTTCCTTATTATAAAGGATATAGTTACTCGTTCCTCTTCTTTATTCTATATATAGATTCTAGTAGCTATATTACCAAAGAGTTATATAAAACTAAGACCTACTATTTCCTTTTATCTTTATATAATAGACCGATACTTATTATAAGCTATTAAGTCTCTGTGTATTACTTTTCCTCTTCCCCCTTTTCCCCTCTTTTAAACAATCGGCATAGTAGTACATATTAATATAGTACGCCTAGGTATTAATAAAGAACCCGGTGAGGGAGAGTCACGCGGAATGTAAGAAGAGAAATCAGTGCAGTCTCATTGAGTGCTAGGAGCTCGTGCACGCTGGGTCGGGGACTTGGCAAACTGAACGTGAGGACACCCAGGATGGGTCACGTGGGCTCTAGCCTGCCACAAGTCAAGAACTTCATGACTTCAAAGGACTCGCAGATTCCCCAAAGATAAATAATCCGAGGAGAATAGTTTAGAGGGAATAAAGAGTCAGAGTTGTCTTTTACCGATACCTACGTTGACGTACTCTGTAGCTCATAAGATATCTTTTCACTCACGTATCACTACATAATGCTAACCGTCTCTTCTCATAACTCGTATACGACCCAGTCCACCCTTCGGACTATTGCCCTTTTGGGAATTGCCCTTACACGGAACGCGTTAATAGAGCTTCTTAGCTAGATCTAACGCTCTCCCTTATAAGAACTAAGATATACGTTTTATTTAGGTTATACCTTAGCTAGATAATACGTTGGAATATCTAAGAGACGGAAAACTTAGCTATAGGGATTTTGTTGATTTAGCTCGCGATAAGCCCGCGTTTACCTTCGACTTAATACGGGATATATAGCGCACTACGGTTAATTACCTATATTATCTCGACGCTAAACTAGAGGAGTAACATGGCTAGTTTAGTATAGTAACTACGGAGTTAGTTAAACTAATAAACTAGAAAATAGTAACCGAAACTCTCCTCTTTTAGGGCTTTTAGGGCTTAAGGTTCATCGAAGTGGCGATAGAGTCTTCCGATTCTGATTCTTCGTCTTTTTGGAAGGACGATCAACCACATGTCAAGTGCCATTTCTCGGCTGCTTTTGCATCTCCTTGTGCGCTGCTTCAACCCAATTTGCCTACTCCTCCTTGGTGCAATTTTGCTTCATGTCCTGCCAGCCGTCCTGCACATATGGTGTCCGAACTTGAGCTAACTTTTGCGGCAGCAGATGCGAAAGTGGTTGTAAATCAGCAGCCGGATTGCGAGTCGAATACATTGCGTATTCAGTATCAACAACGTATGCAGCGTAAGAACCCTTCCGAAACGCGCGATACTGTTCAGACTCAATAGCCGCGCTTGATTTGATACGTACGCATGTTGAGCGTCGAAGTGCCGGATTACCAGTCGCAGTTTGACAAAGTTCCGGTCGATTTTAGTCGAGATCTGGTTGAGTTATCTTCAGTTATGCCTCAGTTTCAACTTGGTCGAGTTCTGCCTGGGGATTGTCGAGTTCTGTCGCAGTTTTATGGAGTTCTGGTTGAGTTTCAAGTTTGTCGTAGACGTCCTGAATTTGAAGCTCCCTTTTGAAGGAATTCCTTGAAAGTGTTGACCATTCCGAAATTAGCAGCTCATCCGTTGCAATGAAAGGGTTTGGAGACACCGGTCTTAGCGGTTCTTCAATAACCAGGTCCATTCGGTGGTCTTCAAAAGGCTGATCCTCAAGGAATCTGGCAGGCACATATCTACGTTGATCGACTGTAGGGTCCATGTGGCCCTGAAGCCGTTGTCCTGCATCAAGATCATAATCTGGATTTGAAAGGTCCTTCAGACTGTTCTCGTTGCCATTGACGTTTCTGGATGTAATAATGCGCTTGGAATGCACATCATACAGCTTATAAGCATCTGTGCAGTAGCCGACCACCCTAGACTCAGCCATGCGCGGAGAAAGCTTATCTGCGCGCCGTTCCTGAGGAATCAAGTACCAAGCTTGACAGCCAAGCACGCGCAGATTTCAAATATCCAGTCATGAAGTATTGCAAGGAGTAATGATCAAGCCAGATGTCGAAGGGTTGACTGCGTTATAGTCCTTCTAATTCAGCTCTCCATTCTTCGAGCGCTCGAATAATTGCTAGCATTTCCTTGTCGTGAGTGTCATACTTCCGCTGACCTTGATCCATGGTTTTTGAAAAGAATGCGATTGGGTGCCAATTTTCTCCATTTTTCTGTGAGAGCACTGCCCCCATACAACCACCAGAGGCATCAGTCTCCAACTTAGTTAGTGCTTTAGGGTCGTAATGAACCAAGCTTGGTGTCGAGGTTAGTGCAGCTTTCAGTTGATCGAAGGCCTTCTGACATGATGTGTCCCACATGTATTGCACCTCTTTGCGAGTCAATTGGTGCAGTGGTTTTGCGATCCGACTATAATTCCTGATGAATCTTCGGTAGAAGTTGCACATTCCTAAAAAGGACTGTACGCCCCTTACAGTAGTGGGTGGATTCCACGCTTGGATCATATCGATCTTTGAAGGGTTCACCCGCAGACCTCGAGTACCAACGATAAAGCCGAGGAACTTAGTTTCCCGAGTGTGAAACTCGCACTTATGAAGTGCCACTTGTAATCCTGCTTTTCTCAATCGTGCAGTACGGACTTCACATGTTGCTGATGCTGCTTCAGATCACCATCGGTGTAGATTAGGATATCATCCACAAATACAGTACAAAAGTCGTCAAGATAATCTCCTAGTGTATAGTTGATATGCCGTTGGAAAGTGGCCGGACCGTTCGTTAGTCCAACAGGCAAGACCTTATACTTGTATGATCTATACCTGGATTTGAAAGTTGTAAGGTCCTCTGAGTCCGGGTGTATGCGAATTCGATGAAATCCCTGTTCGATGTCCAACTTATTAAACCACTTGGCTTTGCCAATTCTTTGAAGCAATTCATCAATAAGAGGTAGTGGGTATCGATCCTTCTTAGTCAAGGCGTTCAATTTCCGGTAATCAACGCAGAATCTGAGGCCGCTACCTGGTTTTTCAGCCATTAGGATTGGTGACGCGTATGGTGCGGAGGATGGTATAATGAATCCCTTCTCGAGATTCTGCAGAATGTACTGTTTTGCAAATCTTAACTCCTCCTCGGTCACCTTGTAAAGTGGACAGTTTACTTGACGGAAGGAGTCATTTTCGAGCTCAAATCGATGATCTGCAGCACCTCTCAATGGTGGTAGCGTGTCTGACACAATTTTCGAGAATACTTCGATGAATTCGTGATATTCCTGGGGACCGGCTTTCTTGATTTCGCACGTGTCATGAAGCTTCAACGTATCCTGTGATTGCAATTTCTCTTCGATAATCTTGTCGATTTGAGCCAGTGAGGTCACGAATGAGGTAGTACCCTCTCTTTGCATATGACGGTAGAAGCCCATACCGCCGATCGCCGCGATGTCGAATGCTTGTTCGTGAGCTGTATTCTTCTGCAGAAGAATTTGATCTTCACCATAAGACTTTTTGATCTTGATTCCAGCTTCACAGAGTTGATCTCGTCTTTCCATATCTTTTTGATGATTATGCGTGTCAACTGGAGATGGTCTTCTGAGTATTACGCGTGGAATTGCCTTGTTGATCGCTTACTGTACTTCCTCTTTCAGTGTTGGGGTACTTGGCTATACCAGCCTCTGATCTTTGTAATCTGGCAGGACTTCATGTTCGGCGAACTAAGCACGCCCCAGAATTATGTCATGTTTACCTAGTTCAGTAGTCAACATAGGCTGTCGTAGCTGTATGTGACCATCCACTAACAGGGTCAATTTGGTAGTATGCGTAATGGTTTTCGCAAAATACCATCGAATCAGGTGATTAGGTATGGAGTTGAAAGTTTTCGCGTCCTGACTC